TTTTTGGAAGGACTTTATTAATAGAAATGTGATTCAGAGCTTATCTTTTGGTCTACGTGCCTTTTTATCTATAGGACAAATATGTAAATATAGATAGATGAAAACAGTATAGGATAAAATTCCTTTTCACACCTATGTAGCAGATGCATAATGTGGATTCTACACATTTCTTTGATGCATTTTTATTTCTGAAGAAGTCAAAGTCTAGCCCTGGTATATCTGTAATGTTTTTATATTTGTGATTGGTTAACCAGGGGGTGTGAACAGAGTGCAAACTGCTGGTTAGCACATAAAAGTAGTTCATGGGCGTAGACCTGGAGGATTCTATCCCGAGTTTCTAGTTCTGATCAGATAGCTCCCATCCGGGTCAGTGCCAGCAGTGGGATCTTCTTTCTGTGCATTGACATCGGTTCTTTGTGAGCCCTTAGTGTGAGTCATGGGTTCATTCCCTGTGCATACAAGTGGGCTTCATGCTATTCCATGACCGCGGATTACACCCAAGGGTTCAGCCAGCTCTTCCTGGATGTCTGCACTTGGTTGGTGGAAGAATGTGGTTGGCTGAGCTCACTCTGTCCTTTCTAATGGGAAAATATCTCCAGATGGCCTGAAGCATCTCTGCCGTGGGGACAGCCCTTTCCATGAGGCACCCTTTACAGGGGGCTCCATCTTCGTTCTCTCCAGGCACACGGCCGCCTGTGGCAGCTCTCCAACCCGAGGTCTTTAAATGCGCCTCTGGCAGTGTCTTCCTCACTGAGTTATAGATGGAAAACCCAAACCCAGTCACATGGTTTAACCCGTTCAGCCCAGAAGGAACAGCTTGAAAGAATTCCTGTCACTATTTTGCTGTATCAAGTCGGGCTTGGCAGGAGTGACATCCACTGGAATTGGGGTTGAGGGTTTGTTTTGTTTCACTCACAGGGTGGACTGCTGTGACCGCACTGGTGGAGACTCCACTGGATGGGGCGGGGCGCCCATCGATCCCCTCTGTCCCTCTGCCGGGAGAATCCGCGGAGGCACTGTCCACCCTCAGCACAGAGTGTGGGGCTGCTAAAGACCCTGAGGTTTGTGTGCAGGCTTCACACCCCATGCTGTCCTCGAGAGGTCTTGGGCACCAAGGGGGCACCCTGGAAAGTTCTCCAGGGTTTCTGGAGCTGCAGGGGCTGCTCTCTGCACCAAAGGTCACAGACTCTGCAGACCAACGGCCTTTGTTGCTTAGCGGAAGCCATGGACCACAGGACTCTGAGTTAATTGATCACCTTGGGAAAACAACTTGATTGAAGTTGGATGTCGCAGGATGAGAGAGAAATGGCTGAACTGATTAAGAATGAGCTTCAACGGCAAGCTAAGCTGCCTCAAATCCTTCATGGAAGTAGACAGGATGTAAGTGATAAGTCATAAATAAATAAATCTCAAGAGCAAAATAAAGGCCTTTTGAATCTACCATCCCTCACAGCTCCAAGTGTTTCAAGGTGGAATTAGCCAGTGTGTGCCTGACATGGAGACTGGATCCAGCCTCAGATACTTTTCAACCAAATATTTTTAGCCACACTCTGCATAACAACAATAAAGAGTGAAATGGTGGACTGAGACCTTAAGTACTGAGCCAAGGCCACTACACTGATTTTTCAGCCCAGCCAGAATTTTAAAGATTAAAGTTTTTATTCAAAGGATCTCAAGACTCAACATGAACTTCCACACTGCAGGAAGCATATCAAATAAGTATACATAGCGCCTTGTAGTTGCTCTGTTTAGCATGACTACTTTTTCTTTCTGTCCTGTTTAGTGTTTCTTAAGAATGCCAGGGTTCATCCAATAGTCTATAAGATACAAATGAAGTAGACAACATTACTCTTCAAATTCTTAGAAAGGCACCAGGTTACAGACCCCTATTTACATGCAGCTCCCCTATTTTTCCAAGCTGGTCATTTTCTTCTCCCTTCAGCACTGGAATAGATCATTAGCTACTGTATTTGTTTGTTTGAGCCTTCGATAAGGGACAGTGGACCCTTGACTTAACGAACTCAATTGTTTCCCAAGGGCTGGTTATAACTTAAGTTGGTTGTCAGTAAAGCTGAGATCTGGATGTTTACCTGGGCACACGCTATAGATAACAAGAGGCAGATGAATTGTCCATCAGTCTAATTAACCCAACTTGTTCATATGTCAGGCCGGTCGTAACTTGAGGGTCCACTGTGTACATACATTAGAAGGTCATTTAATCTGTTTACCAGTTAGCCTGTACATTTCTTCCTCTGATGGATGAACCCCCGACCTCTATTTCTGATCCATGGGTCGGCTGCTCTTTCAGGGCACTCTTGCTGTCTCTTCAGCTCAGTGGGAAGGAAGCCTGTTCAAGGCGCTGCCCTCTGGTACTTGTAACTCAATAGTGTTTGAACAAATGAAACAAAATGGAGAGCTGTTCCTATGAAAACTACATTGTTGCCTCAGGAAGACTTGCTGGGCCCGGGATTTAGCTCAATGGTCTCGCTGCCTGCTGCGCAAGCGCAAGGACCAGAGTTCGATCCCTGGTACCAAAAAAAAAAAAGAGTTGTTAATGTCAATTTGCTTTTAAAGAAGGTGCGGGGTGGGAGCAAATTAAATATCAACAAGGTAACACTAAAAGATTGAAGTAAACATCATAAAAATCTAGACAGGTTCTGCAAAGTTCCTGGTTTATATAGGAAGGAAGATAGAGGGCTCCAGACAGTGGGTCCATCTTAAAAGACACGGCACTACCTCCACACCTGGTTGTGAATGAGTATAAGCTCATTTTTAAAATATATATATGCCTAACGTATGAGAATATAATTTTTGTGATTCCATGATTCAACCAGTTTTTTAGATTAACTGTCAGCCCATCCTGATCATGTTGGATGAAAGGATTTCTTTTATGGTGGCAGTAGCCGGGCATATTGCATAAAATGTATGTCTGCTGAGCTTAGCAAGCTGCTTCCACTGGGTAAGTTAGAGGAGAACTGAGCCCAGCCCCGGGGGAGCAGATCCACTCCTCCCTTAGTGCACTTCAGGGACACGTGCTGACCTAGGGAAACAGAACCTGGCTCTCACACGTGCGCTCAGTTCCTTTCTCTCCTCTCTTCCTCCCCCTCCCCCTCCTCCCCCCTTTCCCTGTCTCTCCCCCAACCAGTGCCCCTCCTTTCCCAAGGAAAAGTAATGTAACTGAGTTCAAAGAGCAGAAATGCCCCTATGATCTGACTCTAAAATAAATAAGGGAGAAAACATTTGGAGTTGAACAAAAGAATATAGTTCAGAGTCCTCATTCTATGAAAGATGGGGTCTCTGGCTTGAAAAGACTTTGAATATATATTTAATTATACAAACCCCAAACCTGCACTTGTGCGTTGTACGTGCACAGAATTCCTTAAAATAATAAGCTGTGATTTATTAAAATGTGACTTAGTTCAGAAAGACACCGATTTTTCACGCAGGAAGATCAGGATGTGGTGAAAGAAATCTTACTGGAAGTAAGATTCTAAAATCCAATGGGTTTTAAGTTGTTTTCTATTCTCTCTGGTTAAAAAAACATTTCGGAAAGCGCTTCCTCTGTGTCTAGACTGTATCAGAGCACAAACAGCTGCAGGAAAAATGTGAGAATGCCTGGAGATACTGGAATATGTTAACAGAGGTACTGGAGAGCCCGCAGGAAGAATAATATTTTACAGCGAGGTGGTTGTTATCTTTAACAATAAAAGCCATATGAATATGCTGTGATTTATGCTAGCATGGAATGCTTAAAATCATAAAACAGGTATGATTATTGGATTCCTGTTCACCTAGGGAATGCAGATCCCACAGATAAGTATGCCCGAACATGACCTCCATGGGAAAGCATGAACCCACCCACCTCCAACAAACAAGAGACCATCCTTTATTTCCGGAATAGCTGGGAGGCTTTTGCTGGGGCCAACCATGAGCTATTTTATTCTAGAGCATAAACCAGATGCTTTCTTTTCTCAAGTTCATGGGGAACAACTGATGGCTGCTGGATTAACTAGAAAAGAAGTGTTCTTCCCTCCAGTTCTGGACAACACCGCAATTTAATGGCACTTTGCCCAAGTGGACGTTTAAGATGGATGGATTTGTCCTTTGCCCCTAGGGCAATGGTCCAGTTTTGGAGCAGGTGGCAGAAAAGATGGATGGCCAGGGAGATTTCCAGGTGAAATCGGTCAGATTTCCTCAGCCCTCATTAATTCTGGTTCCCCATCATCCATCTCCATGTTCTCTACCCTTCCCCAATGAACCCTGACTTCGGAGGATTTTCGGGATCTAGAAAAATCAAAATGTGCTGACTAAACTCAGAGCAGGTTGAAGAAAGTCAGGGGTCACTCCAGCTTATTATGGGATGAGGCAGAAGAAGAAGCAGATGACTGCGAAGTGTTCTGGCCTCTGATATAAAGAGAAAGCCCAAAGGTCAGTGGAAGGAGCAGCCACAGGAAGTGCTGGGCACAGCAATGCCCTGTGGGCTTCATTTAAATGATGCCTATATGAGCTTCCTAATCGGCAGCCTGCTACTCTCATTTACTTGCACATTAGGGCAGGTTTAGCGATACAATTGTTTTTGCCCCTTCTGGACATTGCTAACCAGTTTGTATGAGGATATTTTTTTGTAATTGTATTATGAGGCAGATGCCATCAGTAGATAAATAGCATGTATTGTCAGACCCTTACTGAAGAAGACAAGTGATTTCCACTTAAGATGAGAATTCTCGTGTGATTGACAGCCTTAGCCCCTGAGTTGCCATCATCTGTGGCCACCTGTGGAGCCACTTGTTGGAACAGTAGACCCTGCCAGAAAATTAAAAACCTAGGAGGGATACTCACAGTTTTAAGAAGTGTGACATTTCTGGTGGTCCTTTCCTTCACTTGTGTAGAAGGACAATATTTTATTAGTCAACCAAGAGATAAATCAAGATTTAAACCAACTTCTCACCTTTCAGGCAAGGCCTACCCTCAGTAGTTATTAAAAATAAATGGGATTTAAATAGATGGGGAAAGGCCTATTTTATTTCCAATTTCACACTCCTGTGTTCTGCAGTGCTGTTTAGATCCATTTGTGAAGGCTGATTGGGGTGAAAACAGCCGAGAGCAGCTGGGAGGGAACAGGTTTTCCAACCCAAGACGAAGTCCTTAGCTCTGAGTCCAGCTGTCAGCAGCTCAGCAGATGATGTCGGGGATGTGAGCCCAGGGTCCTCACGTTGACAGTGGAGGAGTCACTGAGTACTGTCTTGTGAGAGGCAGTGGTGCCTGTGATTGCATCATTGGTGGCTTGGGCATGATTTCTCTTCCTCCAGGGTTGTATGTTGAGGTCAAGGTTCTGGGACTAGGGAGGGCATTGACTCCACGCTGTCCTTGTCTAGGTCTTGGTAGACATGGTGACCAGTGCGGGCAGCTTCGATGCCCAGGTCCCCAGGTCGCCTGATTGAAGAGCAAGGGGGAGGCGACTGTATTCCATAGCAGCAGCCTGCTTCTCCCCTGTGGCCACTGGCTCTCTGTTGTTTTCTTCCAGTGTCTTGGGGTCAAAAATGGTGGCTGCATCGCCCTTGCTGCCACCTGCTGTTTGTTCCATTGGCAACTGACTTCCACACAAACCTGGCCTCTTCCTGTACAGCTCATGCTCCGTGCTGTGCTGGGCTCCTGGGTCCCCTTGCTGAAGCTGTACCCTGTGTGGGGCACAGCCATAGATCGGGGGTTAAGGGAGCACCCCGCTGGGGTGGCTGCTCAGTGGTGGGACCCACCAAGGACTCTGCCTGTCACACTCTGCTTCCTTGTGCTTTCTGGTACAGTTGTCCTCCAGCTGTTCTTCCCTCTCAGTCCCCCTGCAGCCACCACCACATTTACCTTCCCACACCGCCAATCTTGATGGCACTTCTTCCTCTTCCCTAAGAACTGCCGATCGGCTCATTCCACACACAGCCCAAGTGTCCCACCTACCAGTTCCTAACCACTCCTCGGACCCGCACATTCTCCTTCCACTTGCAGTAGCCTCTGTCTCCTCCACCTCTTGATCCCAACCCATCCCCAGGGCTGAGCGCAAATTCTGTCCCTCAATGTGGTTGTTAGGCAGCTGCTGTGTCATCACAAGGCTGCCCGGAACCTGATGCCTGGCACTGACCTCTGCCCCTGTTCCAAATCCCCAAAAGGATCTCATAGTTTACAAGTGAAAAAGCCACCTAGACATTAGTGACCAAGCTAGGACCAGAGTCCAGGTTTTTTCCAAGTCTCAGACTGGTGGTTTTTTCCCTGCTATCGTTTTTCCTCTGTCCTTGCTTTGGAAACAAGAACCAGATCCCGACTTGATCTAGTGGGTGTTCAATAAATATTTATTCAGAGAAAGTAAAGAAGATAGGAAAAGGTGACAGTGACAGGAGCTGACACTCCTATGGCACTTACCATTTTCTTCCCTCTGATGCTCCCCGGCTCATCACCAATAGACTTAGGAGTTAGGTGCTGTCATCGTTACCCCCTGTCACAGTTGAGGCCCTGAAGACAGGAAAGGTTAAGTGAACGGTCCCCAAGGTCACAGTTCTAGTGCCTGGCAGAGTCAGGGCATGAATTCGGGGCTCCTCTTCCACCCCAGCATGCTTTGGAGCCAAGGAGGAACGGCAGAGCGGGAAGCTGAAGCTTGAGCTTCCTGCAGCGCTGGAGTGACAGAGCGGATGGTTAAATCAGGCCACCCCATCAACTTCTGTTGATTTACCTGGAGGAGAAACACTGGTTAGAAACCTCCCTGCACTCCAGGCTGCAGGGCTTGCAGTGATCCTGGGTTTCTATGGGAAGTGAAGGGTGGGGAAGCTCCCTGCACCCCTGGCCACGTGTTCTGCCTTATTTTCCATTCGTTCCTGGGGCCTCGGTGGAAGGGCTGTCACATAGTTAAGGTGCCTGAGTCAGTGTCCCTCGGAGAGGGGATATTCCACTCTCCTGCAGGGAGGGCTCTCCGTGGTTGCTCTCAAGGAGAGATGTCACATCCAGGCTTGCCACCACCCTGACTTGAACATGCACTGATTGTGAGGTCGGGGGAAACCAGTGGACCAAGCATATCTGGGGGCTTAGATCTTTGGAAACTCTGTCTTACTAGTCCACTGTCGGTGCTGGGTTTTCACATCAGGCCCCCGACATTGGTGTTTGTGCACATCAGAGCACCAGCATTTCTCGCACACACAAACTCATCGTGAGCACGTCAGAGAAGCCTGGAAGCGTGATTTCACCAGTGTGCAGAGAACACTTTGCACCAGGAATCCTAGAGTGAGTAGAATAATCCTCTAGACTCGATGAATCAGCTCTGAACTATGAATGTGTGTTGCATTTTGAGGGATTGCCCTCCAGTGAAAGCACCATTTCTCCTGTGTAAAGAAAAAAAATTGTTTATGCACAGACCACCGCCATGGTTTTGTGGCCATGCTGTGAATATCGACTGTCGCAGCCCAGCTGTGACAACGTTATAGGTGAAGGAAAAGTGATTTATCCCTCTCCTGAAGAGCATCGCGTTCTCTGGCTGCCTGTCTGATTCCGAGCCCGAGCCTCGGCCTCACCCCTACCTGCACCACCCCGTTGTGACTCTCTTGGTACATTTTTGTGATCACTGTCCAGTCTGTTTGTGGCCATTAAGGGCTCTGGGAGCTGAGTGAAAATAGGTTACTGCTCATCTGGTTTCTTGGAAGAAATGTGCGTGTGTGTGTGTGTGTGTGTGTGTGAGTGTTGCTTTGCACTTAAAAGGCCAAACTACAGAGACCAGGAAGTGGAGAATGAATGGCGCCAGGTGACTCACCTTTCTTACCCTGCAGGAGCAAAGACTGTGCTAAAAGGCATGGGCACGTGGTGGGTGGAGCCAGGGTGACCCTGAGCTGGCCGGAACTGGCTTCCACTTAAGACTTTGGCCAAATGACGTAACCCTCTGGAATCTCAGCTCCTGTGGGTAAAATAAGGATGATGAGACCTAGCTTGCAGGGTTCCGAGTTCAAGACTCAGGGTAGCCAGCACACGGTGTGTGATAATTGCCAGTCACTGTTATTATTGCTGCAGCTGCTGTCACACTGTCATTATTGCCACCTCCTGAGAATGGGAAGAACAAAGCAGAGCTCAATTGCTTGATCACGGTTGCCTTCATGCTTATAGGATATAGTTTTGACTTCAAGATTACCCGCAGTCCAAGATTGCTCCTAAAACAACAAAAGTAAACAAGAAAATTGCAACCATGGAATGATGAAAACGGAGAGTCAGGTGTTTCCTTATTCCAACAGGGCATCCCTTAGCTGAGGGGACCCCCTTCCTCCAGCCCACAAATAGTGACCAGCAAGTGGTGAGCTTGGGCAAGACTGGGGGTGACCAGAGGGTCCAGAGTAGAATCAGCGTGACTCTGTCCTCAAGGAAAGATGAAATGACCACAGAGTTCTCTGAAGTCAGATAGAAAATGCTTAGACCGCAGGAGAGATACAACTGAAGCCCGTGGAATTTAGCAGGGACATGAAATTAATTTTAGCCAGCACTGGGACATGAGGTTTTATGGAAGAAGCAGTCTAGTGGCAGAATGCAGATTCTGGGGTTTGCTGTTGATGGGGTGCAGCTGGGACGCAAAGTTCTTATCTTCTGTTGCATCTGGAAATGGGATGGCAGCAGCACCTAGGGTTGGAAAGATTGAGATATTAAAACAGCACCTGGCCCAGCCCGAGTGCTGTGTGGTAAATGCATCTGCCAAAGGACAGGCACAGGTTTCCCTGGCAGCAGAGGTGAGTGGGATGGAGGGGTGGCCCATGCCAGCCAGAGTCTGCACCGAGACACGGCGCGGAGGAAGTGGAGAGGTCAGGGAGGACACTGGGACATAACTGTGGGAATCCCGGACTCTGCTGACCCTGAGGTGGACTCGGTACTCCAGCGCTCGGCAGTGAGCCTGTGGGAGGCCTGAGTCTGGCCCTGCCTCGGGGTAGGTCTCTCTCCGTCTCTGTGCCAGGTAGCGCGGTGATGGACGAAATCAAAGCTGGGTTAGCAGAGCTCGATGTGCAGGTCTGGGTGGGCACCAGGGGAGGGGTGCAGCAGAGCCCAAGTGGGGAGCCCTGGAGGGCAAAAGGGAGCAGCAGGGTGGGAAGTGCGGGAGCATGGAGGGCTCAGGTGGAAGGTTGAGGGGTTGGATGGAGGAGTAGAGTTTGGGGGGAACGGCACACTGTTAGCCCACCTACTACTCCCTTTCCACACTGCAGTGCCGGGGTTTTCCCTTCAGGGTGCAGTCAGTGGTGTTGTTTTGTGTTTGTTCTTTGAGCCTCAGTGAGTGTTTCAGTCCCTTCACCTTTACTCTCCTTAAGGGCTGTTGAAGGACAGGCTGGGGTCGAGGGCGAAGGGGACACGCATGGTAAGACTTGATCTTCTGTCTCAGACACGCGTCGTGCTTGTCATGGCTGCGTGGAACCTGTCACTCTCGGCGTCTGTGGCTCTCTAGAAAGCGCTGACTGAGTCCCATGCCCCCCAGGAGGATGCCCTGCCACTGCGGGACTGGTTGCACTAGGTTTGATCCGCTCTCACTTTAGCTGTGTGAAGGCTGTCATCATTTTTTTTTTATCATCCGAGTTATTATGAAAGGATAATACTATTTTTAAGTGTTATGGAGAAGTAGGGTAATTCCTAAGACAACCACATGTAAGACCTTTAAAATTCTTTCGGGAACAAGATAGTCCATAAATAAATCTGTGTATGTATCAAATCAAGATCAATTACCATAAAACGTCTGTGACATGGGAACTATGAAATGATAAAAGTACAACTATAAAGTCATTTTGTTGCTCTCCCCCACCGGACTGGGAGTGAAATATAACAGTGGTAACAGGAGAGCGAGGTTCTGGCCCAGCCGTGTTCATCCACATCAGAGATCTTGAGCAATCTGGAGAGAGGCGGCAGGGGGCTCCTTCTCAAAGGTTACCTTGCCGGCTTGGAGGAGAGAGGAGCGCATCTGTAAACGATGGGAAATATTTGCTGGTTTGGGCTTTGAAGACATTTTCCTCCTATTTCTCCAGCAGCTCTTTTCACTGTAGTCCAGACTTGGAAATAGTGACTTATCCATCACGTCCTCCCTGAAGAGAGACCTTTGCCCGAGCTGTCCAAGAGCCAAGACCCCCAGTTTCCATGGGACCAGCATGTATTTGTCCAGAGGCAGGATTTTGGCTTTTTCACCTTCAGACCTCAAGGGCCTGTTTATTCTGTTAAGTAAGCAAGAGTGAGGTCAGCTAAATGGTGATGGTTCCTTCCCTGACCCAGAGGCAGTGCTTATTTGATGCTTCCAAAGCTAGAAAATGAATGAAAAGCATTATCAGGAGCAGTGAAGAAATAATGGCCGCCCTGTACTTGACCATGGTTTTGTGACTGTGGCACCAAAGCTGGCCCCTGCTTTTAGCACTTGAAGTCTGGACTGGTTTCCTTCCACCTCTCAGCTACTTAGCAGGACCAGTCGGGAATCCACTGAATGCTCCCGCTGCTGGGTTGCCAGGCGTCAGTGTGGAGAAGCTCTCGGTCAAGGCCTAGGGTGAGGAGGGAGTTACTGCTGTTGGTGTCGAACTTCAGACCTTAGCTCATGGGTCTGGGGGCCGTTTGTCCTTACTTTTACAGGGTCTGCTGCCTCTCCGATGGTGTAGCCTGCTGCTGAAAGCCAGTGGCAAAGGCCATAAGTGGAAAGAGCAATGAAAACCCATTCACTTCTTCCCTCCAGGACCTGCACCCATTTTAGCATCTCACTTGAATCTGCCGAGAAATGGCAAAATCTTAAGTATAGCACCCTCATTCTTTTCCTTGGAAAGCAAAGTGTATTCGAAAGAGGCCTAGGTGCCTGGAGCATCACCAGAAAGCCTGGCAAGAGCTTTGTCTCGTCTCGGAAGTAAATAGATTCGGTGGCAGGAAAAATGCTGCCAAGGAAGTTACTCTGTTTTCAGGGAGCAAAGGACGGGAGTTTTATCGCTCCTTGGTGTTGCTTTTTTTTTTTGGTACCAGGGATCGAACTCGGGTCCTTGCACTTGTGAGGCAGGCTGATGTTGCTTTTTGAGCATGAATTTCTGTATGAGATTTTCTTAAAGTAATAATGCAAAGCATCTTGTTTAAAACTTGACCTCTTCTGTATGCCCAAGAATTTGTGAAGCAAAGGCTCTGGAGATTTAGCCCGTTCTCTGAAGGCTCTCTGGGCTCAGCCTCCCACACAGGTGTTTAGTATCTCCCAGCAGGAGGACACAGATGTGTTGAAACGTCAAGAACATGAGCAGAAACTCAGCTGACCCTCTTATCATTGCGGCAGGGCAGTAGATCTCTTAGCATCCATGTAACCATGGCCTGCCCGCACTCAAAGAAGTGGAACAGGGAGAGATTTTTTTTTTTTAAAGCCACGGACTCCCCTACCATGAAGAGCAT